ATGGTAAGGCCGAACTGGCCACTGCTACCTGGTCTTTGTACTAATCCACACCTAATCACTTGGGCCTCCCTCTGTAGAGCGAGGAACAAGGCAAAGGATGGCCACAATAATGGTAACATGGTTCCCACAAAGGAACAGGAGTACGAAGGAAAAGCGCACAGAATGGTCTCTTTCATCGGAGCTCACTGCCCATCCAAACACACACAGCAATTTCTTCCAGGCGTCGTTTTTCACAGGGGCACTTCAGGCTGGAAATGTTGGCAGGACAACCTCCCTCTTCTGCCCGATACCCACTAATCGTTTTGATAACAAGAACAAAATGAGGAAATTCATTCCACCATTTTGAAAATGAAGAGAAGAATCTTTAATTTTTGTGTATTGGTTTATGCTAACATGTTCACACTCTGGTCATTATCATTTGGTTACTCACATTCAGGAGACCCCGGCATATAGACCCGTGATTCTCCCAGGCCCCGCTGACAGTGGTATTTTCTACATCCTCGGGGAATATACACAGCCAGATTTCCTTCTTGAGCACCCTCCCACTCCTCCTGTCTCTCTGAGCTTCTCTAGTCCTGGGCAGTGACTCATGTCTCACCTCCTTTAATAGCTCATTGGCGAAATGCAACCCAATGAATCCCTCTTCTTGCCTCTCATGATGTTTCAGAAGCTACTTATCCTTCCTACCTCTCTTAACTCTTCAGGACTCATTCAATGTTTTCCTCTCTTTCTTTTACATTATTAATGGGAAACAGGTACATAGACACGTGTTGATGGCTGATAGGTAACTTTTGGGCCAAAAGGTCCAACACCTTAAACCAAATGTCAAAGAACCAATGTCAAAAAATGAAACAAACACTTCACTTATTCACACTCTCTAAATAATCCATATTCAAATCCCGTATATAGTGTATCTTTTTTTTTTTTAATGTCTTTCTCACAGACTTCCTCTACACTGCCCTCCTCATATAAAACAATAGCCATACCTCAAAACCACAGCAACCAAAGCCCTCTCTATACTGATTTGCAGACAATAAAACTGCCAGGTGGTACCCAAAAAAAAAACCCCATCATTAAATGGAATGTTGTTAAGAAATAGCTGTTTTATTTAACAGCTATTCATTTTTATTGAATAAACATTTTCTAGTATGCATTCTGTTAATTGACCTGACAGCATATGCTGTATATGGAGAAACTTCTAAACATTATGCTCTATGTAATATGCTTATCTGAAAAAGCTCTCATTTGCAGCAATATGGAAATAAAATTCTGCTTTCTAAAATTCAAGACTTTTAAAATGCATTAATCCACACAGTTTATGAAATTGCTCTGGACATTTTAAAATCCTTTCTTTAGGAAAAAAACTTCAGTAATTGGTAATAGTATTTGTTGCTGAGTTTCATAATGGAGTAGTGCATATCCAATACAGAACTTTTACAGACCCAGAAATGGGGCAGGCATAATAGGAAATAAAAAGCAGTTATGGTATCGGGTAAAGAATTACCCAGTGGCTAAAAGAAATGTTCAGAAACTCTATCAAATTATATTATTAGGAAACTATTGTTATAATAGTTTCATGGCCCAGATATAAGTAGACTTGAGACATTACAGGGATAATACATTTCGTTTTGAGGAAGGAAGACAGTTGGGGAGTGTGTTGGCGGGCTCCTCCAGCTACTGGCAGCACCTCTCCTTGGTGATGGCTTTTGAGTGATGATGGCATCTTGCAGAACTACCAACCCCCCTGCCTAGAGGGCCACAAATGAGCGATGCTGCTCGGTGGGAGCTAGGGCAGCCTGGAGGGCGGCGGGCTCCCTGACTTCACGAGCAATCCATCCCTTAACAACTGTTGTCCTCGTAGGAATATTGGTCTAGGGTTACCAGATCTTCTGATTTTTCAAGAGAAGACGGAAAAGCCAGATTCCCCCTATTTTTCTAGGTTGTCACGTATGTAATTTTTTTTTTCTTTTTAACAATTCTTCTTAGAACTAATTTAGCCAACCTACAGACCAGTCCCAGCATAGAAGTCACTCATTCCACAGCTAATCTTTGTGAAAGCTCTCCATTCTGAAAGGGCACTTGCTATCATCTGTAATTATCTTTGGTAATAAGAATCAAACATGGAAAGGCTTGCATTTATTTTAAAAGTCCTGGCACTAGGCACAAATTCTCCCTATATCGTCAACGATTGCACTGGTGCAACTGGAAAATCCTATAACATTCAGTGCTACACACAGCATAATTAACTCATTTTTATACCAAGCCCTTTTAAGCCACATCTTTTTGTTCCATGGACTTCTAACATATTTTACAGTTCTAATTCTCTTCCACTGTCCTACATTAATCAAAGCTGTAACCCCTGTTGTCTTTGTACTACAGAATCAGAATGTGCCCCTGGCGAGGAATGGGGGAAAAGTCAACAGGAATTAAATTTCAGTGCAACTGTTTACTCAACTGTGGCCTGCAGTTATTGAAATTTTATCCGTGGTTTTGTGTGACTACCGCAGTAATGAATTCAGCATGGCTGTGATTTTCTCACTGCTGGTATTCTCACTTCAAGTAAAAACCTGTAGAATAAAAATGACGAAAACAACCCAAGTCCATCATGTTGACCCTCGCATTTCTCCAAAGCGCTTAATTGTTGCCGTTTTCGGTCTGGAAGGAAACTAGGTTCACTCTAGTCCTGGAAAACTTTTTTAATCCCTTAGTTTTTTTCCCCCCTCAATCCATCTACAGATTTTCTTGTCCTCCACCAACCTGTGAAGAGCCGCATCTATACTTCAAGGGGCAAACAGCTGTCAGAATTTTATTTTAAAAGATCGAAAAGGCCTGCCAAGCCTAATATGTGGGGTTTTAGCCACAATGATAAATCCAACTACTCTCTCTTCCTAAATCATATCAATAGCAAATAAAAATAAAGTTGTTATAAAAAGTATTTAACAAGTTTCAAAGTACAATCAAAAGGTACTGACATCCGTAACACATCACAGCATGTTTTCCAAAGTGGTCACAGCCAAGATAAAGAGGGGAGATGTGCTAATTTTGTTACTGATGCTTTTTAAGGAAGATGCTGTTAAAAATGCACTTTCCTAACTGTCTTCTATGAGGCCAATATGTTGTTGCTGTTATTGGTGTAGGGGTGTGTGCGCGTGTGTGTTGATGGTATATATGTAAATATTTTGGCTGACTTACTACTTTACGATGGTAAATGATCTTCAGTTCTTCATATAAAACTCTAAAGAAGTGAATTTCCCATTTATTTAATTAATGTACCTTAAATATTAAGCATGTGGGGTACTCACCCCATAGGTCAAGAGCACCACACCTCAACTGCTCCATAAAGAACCAGTGGATCTTGGCCTCTGTAGCGTAAGGACAGAGAACACAGCACCCCAAAATAGCAACTGCCTGTTCTCAGTATAACCATAAATACCCGAGAACACCACATGAACGATGCATGCACACACGGATACCTTCCTACCATTTGAGGATATGTTTTGCTAACCACCTCGGTGGTTAGAATTTGGCCATTTGCACTCATTTAAGTGCACAACCTTCCACACGACATACATCAATTCCAGCCGATGTGATGCCCAAGGTGCAGGCACAGAAGGGTCTGGGCGGCCAGGGAGAGAGACCACACCACATTGCTTAGATGAAGCGCTTTGCAGTGAGACCTGATCATGTCTGCTAGTTTTCTTTACTTTCTATTCCACTAACTTCTAACAGACTAACAATGTAACGATTCTTCATGTTTTAAAAAACTTCTTAGCAAGAAGAAAATAAAATATGCTCAGCGCCTGTCAAAGGCTATAACCCTCATACAAAAAGGGATTCCCTTTACTTCTCTGATAACGGTTTCCAAGAAAATGGTTTGAGAAAAGGTTCGCCTTCATCCTCCCCATCCCCTAACGATTTCTGTTTCTTTCAGAAAGGCCTGAGGACGCATCATTCTTTTTTCACCTTTCTGAAATGGCACCATAACTATGCATTGAGTAAATGAATCAAGGACTAAAATGGAACAAAACCCACCCATTATCATTTAACAAAAATAATCCTATTTCCTGATTTCAAGAGAGGCTGGAAAAACACCGCTGTCTTCAAGCGGGTGCTACTTACTTGTTTGAATTTCCCTCAACACTGGGGCCACACACCTCCATTTTCTGGGTCACCTTTACCATTTGGAAATATTTAATCAGTCACCCACAGGTACCCACTGACATGCCTACGGAGAGCGTAAGGAGAATGAGCATGTCCCCGTTTATATGCACCTGGGGGAGCCACCAATAAGAGCTAATTTAAAGCATTACGAGGATCTAGCCGCGTATCAGCTGCCGTATGTACACAGGACACATAGGTCAGTGGCCCACACCCCGAAGTTCCTACAGGTAGCAGGGGGCAATTTCTTATACTTAAAGACTGTGCTGTTGTTGCTTCGCCTGCTGTATACCCACTCCTGCCCGTTTGCTCCTACTGTTTGCTTCTACTCTCCTGATGCGCCTATTCCCTCTCCCATCCCCCATTCCTTTTATCCATTACCCCTCATTTTGTGTCTTTCTTCACCAGGCTCAATAAGCCTGTTTATTATTATTACTTTTTAACTCAAGCATCGGGAACCATTTCTCCAAAGATTCATTGTATTCCAAACAGTTCAGCTTCGGGCGGCCACGGGGGGGCCTGGGAAGGGTGCCCAGAGGTGCACTCAAGCTCATGGTTAACAACTGCTCCCCAAGACGGGGGTGGGGAGGCTTCCAAGACTCAACTCCCAAGGGCTTGGGCACTCGTCTCTGAAGGCCCCCACCGGGCCGCCAGATGCTGCTGACAGTCGGCCAGCGCGCCAGGTGAGCCTCCAACACTCCGCGGGGTGGGGGGGTGCGAGCGCGAAGGGCGAGCAGGAGAGCTGGCCCTCCAACCCCGTGCACCCCCCCGCCCCCCCAGTACCTGTTGCAGCTGCACGTGCACGAGCTCGGCGGCCCCCGCGCCCCGTGCGCCCCCAGTACCTGCTGCTGCTGCACGTGCACGAGCTCAGCGGCCCCCGCGTCCGCGGCCGGCGTCTCCCCGTTGGACCGCCCCTCGCGAAGACTGGCACACTGGAGCAAATGGTTGCTGCCGCTCGACCCGTTCTGGATGGCTGAACCGTTACTTTTTGTCTCAGTCCCAGATTCTTGCATCATGACTCAAAAACCTGAGAGAGGGATTTTCAGGAGGGAGCGGGGGAGAGAGAGAAAAAAGCAGCTGTTAAAACAGTTGTTGGACAGAAGGAGCAGGGCCCTGCCGTCTGTGTTGCCAAACTCTGTAAGCAGTTGTCCTTTTCTTTCACGATCACTTTTGGCCCTGGGTCGTGGGCTAGTCCCCTAGGGTCGGAGGACGGAGGGGCCAGTCCAGCTTCAAGGTTTAGCAGTGGTCCTTTAAATAGGCTGTTTCCCCTTGGGAGGAAAAAAAAAAAAAAAAAAACTTTCGGGGGAACTCAGGATTTATGGTTAAATTTCTGTGGATTGTGTCTGGATGTTTTGCTCTAAAACCAGTAAGTCGCTGTGTGTGGCATATTAGGTGTAACATTAAATTTTAGTGTGTGCGGGCTCTGCGTGGGGGTGGTACACTCCTAGAGAGAAAGTCTGCAACTCCACTCTATCAAGACATGACAGACACCACCGGGAGGGGCCCCTGAGGTCTTATGAGCTGAACACCCTTACCGTCAAAAAGCGAAGAGCATTTAAAGATTCGTACTCCCCAAAATCATTCAGGTACTGAAAAGTCTTCAAAATTGGCCATTCCAATAAGATTGGCCACATTTAGAGAGGGGAAAAAAATCCCCACTTTTCAGGAGCTGAAAAAATTCAGACTCTGATCTTTGTCCTAGGGTTAAAACTTCCCTAGGAAATCCTCTTCAAAGTTAGGGGGTTTTCTCATGCTGGATTACTAACCTCTAGTTTGATTTAAGGCCTGAAAGGTCTGGGGCATCTATTTATTTCTGTGAGTGTTGGAGGCTCACCTGGCGCGCAGGCCTTAGGCAGACCAAAGAAAAGGTCTGAATGTGAAAGTATGAAATGTCTAATAAAAAAAATGTGTGTGTGTGTATACAGTAGGTATATAGTATGTATGTCTGTATGTATAGTGCAAGATGAGCAGCTGGAAGATATCACCTACATACATGTAAATGTATTTCACATTCTGCCCAGCTACTCTCTAGGTACAAAACCATTATCCTACGGAGCCAATTCAGCTCTCAGTAAAGGCGTCTGATTATGACAAAAGATAGATAATATTTACTAATACCAAATGTTACCATGTATTTGTTACCAGTGCTGTGCCAAGCCCACCTGCAGGTGATTTATGTATATCCACCAGTTTAGTTGTGAATGCCACTGGTATCTCCAGTATGCAGATGGGAAAACTAGGGCTCCATGAGGACCATTTTAATTTGCCCAGCATAAATCACTAGTAATGGTGCAATCAGGATTTGAACAAGTTCAGTCGGATGTCAAAGTTCTTAACCATGTGTTTTCTTCCAGTTGAGGTGCAGTAAGGAGCAAACAATGAAATGGCAGGGTCATACTCCAAATTCACAGACGAGGACTTTGAACAGGATAAACAATAGTCGCTAAAGGACTTGACAGTTCCAATATCAAAGCTGAGAAATGTCTGAACGTTAAAACTTTAACGTGAGGGGCACCTGGGTGGCGCAGTCGGTTAAGCGTCTGCCTTTGGCTTGGGTCATGATCTCAGGATCCTGGGATTGAGCCCCACGTCAGGCTTCCTACTCGGCAAGGAGCCTGCTTCTCCCTCTCCCTCTGCAGCACCCCCCCACTTGTGTTCTCTCTCTCCCTCTCTCTCTGTCAAATAAATAAATAAAATCTTAAAAAAAAAACCAACTTTAACATGAGGCACCGATCTCGCATAAAAGGGCTGAAAACTTAGAACAAGTATTTTTGCATCGTGTAAAGAGAGACACAACCTGCGCTACAGACTTGTCCCCCACTCATGAAATATGTGACAACAGGGAAACTGAAACACTTGGGACCTCCTCTTTAGAGGATGCCGCCCTCTTGCTAGAAGTTGGTTTAAATCCCTTTTCTACCAACTTCCACAAAAGCCTAATGGAAAATTAAAAGCAGAAAAATTCACATCTTCATTTCCTTTCAGTGCACTGTATGATCCAACTTGAGCACAAACTTTATAAACCCAGAAGACTTATTTTTTAAAGTTAATCCAGTTCTGAAGGGGATTAAGAATGGCATTTTTTGTTGACAGGTGGGAAACAAATTCAGAAGCAACAGCTGATTCACTCTCTTCTCTTGAGATCGGACTTTCCAGTAATTAGAGTCCTTTAAAAACCGCCTTTACATCCTTACTGTCTGCAGAGTATAAAACCTATCAAAAATACAACTAAAACTTTCTCTAAGATAGAAGAACCAGGCAATACAAGTACCTTGTTTCAATTTTGTGAAATTGAGGGGTTTTATCCCCCCCAATGTTTCAGTTTCTGTTTCATAAACCTGCCCATTCGTACAGAAATGAAGGAAAAGACGTTTAGGTATTTGAGGGAGAGAATGGTTGTCCTAGAGTAGTTAACAAGGAAACTCACTGAATTCTTAGGGTATGTCACAAGCATACCTAAAGAAAAAACAAAAACATTTTTTTTAAGTTTCTGGAAAGCCTATCCACATCAGCGAATGGACCCGCAAAAGACAAAAACATGGCTTACACATGAAACCCATACCTGCCCTCAGAAGGGGGCATAGCCAGCCAAATACTGTGTCCTCAGAACTATAGGGAAGAAAGCTGCTTTTCACACCCTGCGACCACTGGGATGCGTGACCTCAAAACAGATGCTAAGAGATGCCCCGCTTCTGTTCCCTGCGTTTGACACCGTGGTGGTGGGCGGAGTAAGGACGATCTCCGATCCACAATTTGATGAGAAGGTTTTGCTCTACGCAGTTCCAAGAAGGCTGCCAAGTCCTCCAGGAGAAGTTTTGCAGGCATCTCGCCAAGCAGCTTGGCTTGCGAATCGGGTCTGTGAGAGTGCAGGCATTGGGACCGAAATTGCATAAAGGATTATTTTGGTCTGAGGATGTCCTTAATTAGTCAAGTGCTAACAGTAGTATGTAGGTTGCAAGATTTAAAATTTCCCATAATCTCCCACACCAATCAGGAGAAAACAGCTTTTTGAAAAGCACATGTGAAAAATTAGGAGTGTCGATGTCTAAGAACATTTCTAACAATATCTGGGCTGGCAATATTTCTTTCTATGGAATGTTCCAAGCCATTTAATAAGGCTTTATGTCTGTACAACACTTCACAAACTACAAGGCTCTCTGAGGTACTTTTCAAACTCATAACAAGTCCATCAGGGAGAAGAGGCAGGTGAAATTTATCCCCATTTTACAGATAAGAAAACCAAAACGCAGTAGAGGTGAAGGAATAGATACAGCCATAATCATTTCCTGTTTCAGACATGAACTTGCCCACTCAATGACTGGCAGAGAATTTCCCATTTGCAAAGTCCTGGGCAAGGTGGTGCATTAGTAAATGAATGAAAAGAAAACTAAGCAATTCCAGGGAAGACAGTACCAAGGTGGCAGGTGGACAAATAAAAGCATCTAAAATACAAAGATGAAAGTGTCGGCATTCTTTAGCAAACACCTCTATTTGTCTTTTTCTATTGAGTTTTACAATTTGGGAATCATCTCAAAGCAGGTCAGTGTATACAAGAGGCATGTGCGTTTTCTGACGTTGAACACTGTAACTTCTTTTCTTAGAGGGAGCTTGTCATAGTCACTCAGTTTGTATAACCTCTGCTTCCCTCTGGGACTCCTTATAACCAATGAACTGCTCTGCTCCATGGCAAATCGAGAGCAAGAAACAATACGCAATCACCCCGAGTGTGCGAATACGGAGGCACAGCACCGGGAGGACATGACAACCCCTCCCCACTAACAAGCCCTCTGGAAACAAAGACAAATCTTCCTCTGGCTTCTTGCATGGCTTCTCCGAATGAGCTGGGCCTGTTTAAGCCACATATGATCCATTCAACACAACCCTGCAAAGGCTGAGGCTGTAATCGCATGGATGTCAGAAAGCTGAAGGAAGCCAAAATGGCCCACTTCTCGTCTTGCTTGGAAACATGACAGAGCTACTGATTTCAAAAGATCGATTTTTGTGCTGAAGGAACTTGTAGAAAAGGATAAGAACTGAGTTTAGCATGCCTATTTATTGTCGTTGCCAACAGTGCATACTCTGGAAGTATTCTGGAAAATTCATAATGTCCAGGCCAATGTATTTATAGTAAATTAAAGCAATGCTTTATTATTATGATTATTTCCTTGGTTACAGTGTTGATGCTGAAAATTTAAGGAAAATAAAGCCCTTGTTATCATGCTTGTGAAAGATTTTAAGCTAACAAAAAGTTCAGTCTTGATTCCAGGGCAGTTAATTAAGGTTGACCAAGTCAGGCAGAAGTAAATTAACTTGGCTGATCAATTATTTATATGAAGCAGAATAAATGCCCTTAAAGAACTTGGTCTGTTCGTGAAAGGATGTGTAAATTAAACTAAACATAGTTTTGTAAAATATATTTTTACTTCTATGGGGAGAAGAGAAGAGAAGTTAATGGCGAAATCACTTGTAGGAAAATGATGACAGTGATGACACGGTCCTCCCCCATTCTAAAGCAGAGATCCTCTTTCTCATTGTTCATCCAGTGCCAGGAAAGGAGGAAAATGGAAGGCATTTTGAAGAGATAACAGAAGCTCTTGGGGTGTTAAAAAAGGGGGGGGGAGCGAGGCGGGGGGGGGGAAGGAAAGAAGGAAGGAAAGAGGTAGGGAAGGGAGGGACAGAGAAGGGGAAGGAGTAAGGTTGGGAGGGAAGGACAGAGCGTTGAGGAGAGAAGGAGGAAGACAGCAACTCTAAGAATGGAGAGACCCTGTGAATTTCCATATTTTGGAATTACTGAATGAGAGGCGCACTTACTTCATCATCCGTTAGACTCTGTGCAGTTTGTAGACAGGATAAGAATAAAGGTGGGAGTCAGGCTAACTCTAGTTCTAAAGAAGGACTCACTGCACCATGATAATTCAAAGTCCACACTGATCATGTTCATGCGATTCAGGAAAGAAGAAAAGCTTGTGTGTATTAAGACATAAAGCATACATTTACTTCTGGGTTTCATCAGATAAGTGAACAGTT